ATTGCTTACAAGCTACATCTCAACATTATCAAGCTGCAGATCAAACATAAAATCATTTCCTTTCATAGAAACCAAGAAAACTTTGATGAAAATTTTCTACCCAAAGTCTTTCTGACAGACGGACAGAGGTAAAAAACAGAACACTGCCTTCTCCTATACATGTATGTAAGTTAGATGTAGAGCTAGCATAACACACTAATTGTAAATGTGCCCTTTATTAAGTTTTAATTGTATGTATAAGTTAAAAAAAGTTTAACAACATAAATTGAAACAATGTTTTTGCATTAAACTTTATACTTGTAACTAAGGGAACCTCACCAAATGTCTATCAATGTATATTGAATGGATATTTTTAATTTTGGACTCATCATTCTCCTGTCAGCTTTACCATGCATGTGTCTGCAGTTATCATTGAAGTAGAGATTTCAGTCTGTGTTGGTACTCCTCTGTTCCGAGGTTGGTATAGATCTTTGACAAGTGATTGAGAAATGTATCTTTACTTTTTTAATGCAATAAATGGATCGAACAATAACCATAGGCAATTTTCTTCTTTTTAATGAAGGAACAAATTTATTTTGTCGTAAATCAAACTCTTTTGATGTACCTTGGCTTCTTGTAACAGGTATGGGAAGTGAAAATACATACTACGATTTGTTAGCATGAAAAGTTGTTCCTTTGAAATAACATACAACCAGTGCTTTTATTGACATTTTTAAGAAACAATTTGTCTATGATATGGAATTTTTTTTACTTTTAAGCGAAATAGTGCTGTAACATCAACTTGATAAAAAAGGAATATTACCTGATACCAAAGACAAAAACTACACAGTAGTACTGTTGTGTAAATACACAGACAACTAGATATTGCTTTTGACACTTGAAAAAAGTGAAGTGATCGACAGGAAGGTGACTTCTTCACTCTAGTCCCTCAGTAGCAAAAGCCCTGATTAGATCATGAAGAACTGGTTTAATATGCTTTTAATATTTTCCCGCAAAAATTTACCTCCCTCTTGGAATGTCCACTTTTTGTTTAAAAATAGATGTGACCATGCAAATCATTAAATGCTTTTTATAATCCAAGCAATCATCTGTTTAATATTGATTTAAAATAATCTTATACTACATTCTATTATAGTTTTGATAACACTAGATGATAATATCTATATTTAGACCATTTTGCTTTTTGTTTTTCCTTGATAACAATTTGTAAACAGCTATGCAAGGGCACGTTATCATTGTCAATTATAGGCTTATAATTAAATTTGTTGTAAATCAGATATTCAATGCTTCAAAAAATAAAATTACCAGAGACCTCATGGTCAACTTTTATACTTATAGTGGCTCTATAAGCCAAAATTATGAAATTTAAGAGTTGGTATATATTATATATAATTATCAATGGAAAAAAATTAATTTGAAAAAATGGATTTTAAGAATTTTTTCTGCAAATATAAAGAAGTCTATAAAATGTTGTCTATACTGAACATATATATCATCATTTTATAACAAGAAAAATATAATTATATCAATAAAATTTTATCTTCTCACTGATGAACTCAACATACTGCAATCCACATTATTTTTCCACTGGACACCATAAAATATCTATTTTTATTCACTCTCACCCAGTCATTTTGGCCCAATTTTATAAATCAATATTGGTAAAATATGAATTTCAAACATGGTTTAGTTTTTTTATAAATACTTGACAGTAACAGTAACATCTTGAGTATCATTGTAATGACCATCTGGTAAGTATGTTTTGTTTGCGTGACTTGCTCTTTGCATTATATGATAATTTCTAATTTTGACATAGATCAATAATTTTCCCACCTTTGCATTGTAATGAGACAATTAGTCTTTACTGCAAAATATGCAAAACCTCTACAACCTTTTAAAAGAGGTATCAGGTAGGAAATTAATGATAATGGAATTTCATACTTCAAAACCTGTTAACTATACTTTTTTTTAATAAAGAATAACTGAGATTTACTTACACATCATAAATATTGATTATTAAGTATTATAAAAATCTTGTCGAAACCAATTACTTTTGGGGGCAAACTAACCTGGAGCAAAGCAATTTGTGCAGAAATTGTGACAAAACAGTCCATTGCCAAATGCAATAATGTATACTACTTGGAAGGCCTGCTATAAATGAATGACTATGACAACAGAAATAGGTGGGTTATAAATCATTTTGTAGATAATTTAATGTATATTTACTGCATAACAAATTTCGGTAAGATGTCATATTTCATTTATTATGTTTAGCCACCTGATATAATTTTTGTTAAACAACATTACTGGTACAAAATGATATACCAGTATTGCTATTGGAAGTTTTTGACCAAGTGTCATTTCTCAAAATGTGAGTTGGGTACCTTGTTTTATATTAAGGTGTATAGTTAATTTTTTTCTGAGACAAGTGCCTGTGTGAAGGTATCAGACCACCTAATCAAAATCCCTATCTATTCAATCAAATTTTGCAATTTTCACAGCTTTCTAAATATTTTACCTTAAGTTTAACTTCATTGAAACCAGGTATATCCTGAATTTTACATGTATCGCCTTTCTACATGCCAATTTTCAACCCATGTTTAAAGTCTTGTGGTAAAATACTACTGTTTGAAAGCCAAATACTACTAAAAATAACACCTGGTTTTCTGGAAATCTTAAAGAAGTATACTATGGAGCGCATTAATCCTCAACTTTTAATGCCAAGTTAATTTTGGCTCAAAATGGTCTATCTTCCTATATCTATAAATACATTTCTTTTTCATCAAAAGTTTCATTTCTGCAAATTTATTTGTCAGTTTAAGTTAACAATGACATCAAAAGCACTATTTTTGTCAGGGAAAGGCTACTTTTACAAAGTTCTCAATTGGAATGGCTGAAATGCGGTACAAGTCAAATCTGCACCTGGTCAAATTTGGCACTGGGGCAAATCAGCACCTATTTTAAGTAATTTCAAAACAAAACAACTGCCACCTAATATTATTTTCACCGTTTTCTTTCATTTATATTAGAAAATAGTTTTTCATTTTTTTTTATATATATTTTTTGGCAAAACTCACAATTTCAGAGGTTCATTTTGTACAACATTAAAAAATCAGCACATGTTATTAAGTAGTAAGAATACACAATAAACAATAATCAGGTGGCTTTCTGTTTGAAGTTTTCTAAATACTCTATAGCAGTGCAATCTTTCAATAACCTTAAACTCATTAATAATGTTTTGATTGGTTATCACTTTAAAAACTTATGAACTTATACCAAATTACAAACAATAACCTGTTTGTTGTTTTGACAATTTTCAGGTAGTTTTTGATCTTTTATGTTTAAAAAATAAAATAAACAATGAAGCCATTACGTTAGCTGTTAAATCCACAGACGAATATAATAAATAATTTAATCATTGTAATTCAAATTGTTTTTTTCCTGCATTTCCAGTCTACTTGTATAAAATGCTGTATGGTTGCCCATAATTGCTTACATGCACTTCATTTAAACTTTGGTAGATAGTTGTCTCATAGGCAATCATACCACATCTCCTCATTTTTGTAATGTTGTCACCAATCTTTTTGGCCCTTGTTACTTGTAATGTGCAGTTGTCATGAAATAGAGACTCCTTTATAATATAAGTTTCAATAGGAACAGATATTATGGCCCAATTGTTTATAACAAAGTTTCCATTGGAACTTCTGTTACGAGCAACAAATATATGTTGACACCTCGAGTGAAAATATTTAAAAAAAATCTATGAAAAATTGAGTTTTCAATAGTTTACTTGCAAAACATGTTTATTTTGGGTGTCGAATTAACTACCTCGGGTGCTGAATTAATCAGGTACCAAATTTACTATAATGGGTGCCATGTAACCAAGTACCGAAGTGACTAGTATTCAGGGAATTGGTGGTGTGACACCTGAACGGACCAAGATTCAGATTAACTATCATTAATTGGGTCAAGTAGGATATACAGGATTGTAGTTCCATAGGAATAATACAGGGGTGAATATGTTTATATCTACAGAAGTGAACATGTTGACAGTTTCAATTTGTATGTACATAGGTCAACATAAATATAATGGCATCATTGGACAACTGTCAACCTGTTGACCCATCGACTGTCAACCACTATAATAATGATTTCTGGTATAAATTTAATCTAATCTGTAATCATTTCTTTTCAAAGTTGACTGTCAACCTGTCTACTTGTTAATTGTTACCACTTAAGCATTATTCTGATGTAATGAAATAATTTGATTTTGTCGACTTAATTTACATTAACTGGCAACCTGCCGACCTGTCAACTTTATTGCCCAAGAATACACAAGTGTATGAATTAATTATAAAAGCCAGAACTATAGTACCGTATGGTGAGATATGTTTTTGCAAGTCATATGAATTTGTACTATGCATGCTTTTTCAACGGAAGTTGTAAGGTCACAATGCGTTGTAAATAGCACGAAAACCCATAATACGAGGATATATCCTACTTGAGCCCATCAATTTATGGTTTATTCCAAGTAGGGAGCGTTTATACAGTAAATTTTGTAAACGGTATACATTTATGTTAAATTCTAATCAGTTGAGAAAAAGCATGCAAATTGATCAAGGAAGGACTATTTATCGCCCAGAACTAGACAAGTATACACTACACTATGACTATAGTATAATAATGATTTCTGTCAACTGTTTACTTGTCAACCTGTCTACTTGTTGTTAATTGTTACCACTTATGCATTATTCTGATGTAATGAAATAATTTGATTTTGTCGACTTAATTTACATTAACTGGCAACCTGCCGACCTGTCAACTTTATTGCCCACACAATCTTTATTTCTACACTTCCACACAATCTTATCAATAAAGTAAAATGTTGCACATCGAACGACCTTGACAAAAAGTTACTGTTTTTGTAAATTTTTGAGGGAGATCTCTTTAGCAAACGTTTTTTTCAAGATTGTGTATATCCAGTTTATGTGACCATTTACCTCTGTTGCAATATACTTGACATTTTGGGTCGAAAATCGTGATGAAAGTCGCGGTAAACACCGCTGAAAAAGCAGCAGAGCCATTGAACAGATTTACCAACTACGCATGCGTCCGTTGACAAAAAACAATTACGGTTTCGACCTCATAATCCGTACAAATCAAACTGATCAATATTTCTTCCACCAGAGTCAGAATTTTCTACAATTAATCAGAGACTATTATACTAAATTAGTAAACGTCAGAGTTACTATATGGCTATAGCCAATACTCCATATTTTGATCATATAGAACCACCTATTATTTCGTATTCTAATCTTATAAAAAAACCAGCTGAAGTTTGATTTTTAATTATACGTCAGTTACATCAGACGTCAATATAGAAAATAATGTTCCTTCCACTTGAGACTGTGAAACATCTAGTTTTAGATATGTTCCCTATGATCATGTCCTTACAGGAGACATCAACATCGTCGAAGACCGTGAGGTCATAACTTTTCTTAAGAAAGGACCGAAAATAATATCGTCCTCCATCTAAAATAGATTGGAAACAGTGTCGTCAGGTCATTAAAGACGCTCGGTCTGTCTACTGTAAAAATTGGTGTAAACGTGAAAAATCTTATTTTTCTACTCTCTATACTACACTTCCACACAATCTTATCAAGAACAAGTTTTCATATTTAATTAATTGGTCTTTTGAAAAATCTCATTACAAATTTATTTGCTGTAACTCGTTCAAAGCCTTTTTCTGTAACGAAAAAGGAAAGTATGCTAGATACACTTACTGGAAATGTGAAAATATGATTGAAGCTTTAAATTTTCTCCTGGACAACATGCATATATGTACGTTTCGGCGATAAAGTGTATCGACATGTAGTAGGTATTCCTATGGGCACTAGCTGCGCCCCTTTAATAGCAGATTTATTCCTGTATTGCTTTGAATCTCAGTTTATGACCAAACTCAGTAAAGACACGTCATTGTTACATTTGGTTGATACATTCAACAATACCTTCCGTTATCTAGATGATATTTGTTTCGTTAAATAATCCAGAGTTCTCTAAATATACTACCGAAATTTACCCAAAAGAACTTACTTTAACTAAATCTAACATAAACAGCAGTAGTTGTCCTTTTCTAGATTTGGACATTTCAATCTCTAAAGGAAAACTCCATACTAAAATTTACGACAAAAGAGACGACTTTTCATTCCCTATTGTTAATTTTCCTTTTTTAGACGGCGATGTTCCTTTGGCTCCATCATACGGTGTTTATATATCCCAACTCGTTCGTTATGCCCGTGTGTGTAGTGATGTCATAGATTTTAACGAACGTAATCAATGCATCACTGGTAAATTATTAAGTCAGGAATTTCGTTATCATAAATGACGTAAAACTTTGACTAAATTCTTTCATAGATACAGATTGGATGTACCTGTAGAAAACTGACTAAAAACGGTATTTCACATCCTAAATTTTACGGTAATATTATACTTAAAACGCGGAAATCACTATGTGATCCGTGTAAACTCATCAACCTTTAAACAAACTTATTAGTAAAGGTTATCTTACCAATGTTGTAATTAGATCTTTGAATAATGTTTACATTGGCACTAATATCGATTTTGTTACAAGCAAATTAAAACATAACTAAATTTGTATTCTTTTCAAACGGGATGTAAAAAGACACACCCACGTTCATTTTGATCTATAAAGAGGTTAACTCCTAACTTCTGCCTGTCGATACATTTATTTTTGGCATTGCACAAGTTATGTCTTCTTTGACTGTCCATGACGTTAAAATACTAAATCCCTGGGATGTGTTTTAGTTGATTTTAATCTCTGATGCATGATTTTTTATTATTAATTGTTTTTGGCTTTTAAGTAGCTGTCAGTAACTGCGAGTACTCCCAAATCGTACTTTCTTGTTTATTTGACCTGTTGATACTAATTGTGATGCTTTTTTGTTGTTTAATGTTATTCAGGGCTATATCTGTTCTATATACCAGCTTTGATAAGTGTTTGGTATTACTATAAATTTTCACTTCTTCGTACTATGAACATCAAAATTATTTATTTTGTAAAAATATTTCCTTTCTCCATTTGAACTGTACACGTATACATTACAACAAACTTATTTTCATTTACCTGTGTTTAAAGTAATTGCAAATGGCTGATATTTTTGTTCAAGCATATTATTTTTCTTAAATTGTTTAACATTTCACAGCGGTATAACATGTTACTTTAATTATTCTTCCGTTAATTTATTTATTTTGTATTTACATTGTATCATAGATCAAATTTATTTGTTCAGTGTATGTTCACTGGTGTTAATATGTCTTTTGATTGAGTTAAGCCATTTCAATTGATATTTTATAGTGTGTCTTTCTATGTTGTGATGTTACACTATTGTTTCAGATAAGGGTGAAGGTTTGGTACCATTAAAACGTTTAAACCCGCTGCAATTGTTTGCACCTGTTCTAAATCAGGAATCTGATGTTCAGTAGTTGTCGTTTGTTGATGTGGTTCATAAGTGTTTCTCGTTTCTCGTTTTTTATATAGATTAGACCGTTGGTTTTCCCGTTTGAATGGTTTTACACTAGTAATTTTGGGGGCCCTTTATAGCTTGCTGTTCGGTGTGAGCTAAGGCTCCGTGTTGAAGGCCGTACTTTGACCTATAATGGTTTACTTTTACTAATTGTGACTTTGATGGAGAGTTGTCTCATTGGCACTCATACTACATCTTCTTATATCTATGTAGCCCTTGCAATTAAGGAACACATATACCAAATGCAGAGAGTTCTATCACTCATAATAAGTGAGTGTTTCACAGAACGCAAAAGATTTTTTTTCAAGTGGTCACTGAACCATGAAAATGAGGTCAAGGACAATGGATATATTACGGCAGACGGAAACTTCGTGACATAAGGAATCTGCATTCAATATATAAATACCAATGTCTTCTACCTTTTAAGATATAAAGCTTTATACAAATATTTTACGCTGACGTCGCCATCGTCGCCGTCGCCCTCAATGAAACAGAAACTATAAGGAAAACTAAGTATTACGCCCAATCATTAACCGAAAATAACTTTTTGGAAAATATTAATGTTAATGAATGAAATGTAGATATTTTGAAAGTATTTTATAGCCAGTGAATAAGTGTATATTATCTAAGGTGTCAAACGTGTGCGATTTCCTTATCCTCGGAACTACATGACGACTTTTACAGTTATCTCATAATTCTCCTTTGGTTAACGTGTGCCTTACTAGCACGTGTCGATAACCTGAGATTACGATAATAGTGAGTTATAGTAATCTCAGGGATAATTAACGCACTAGATAAAACAAATTCTCAGCCTAGTCTCAGACTACCATGGTTTTATATGTCTATGGTTTTAGTAATCTTAGATCTTGAAAGAAGAGACAGAACATACTAAAAGGACAATAATATCATATGACGAAAAAATCCCCGGAAATACCATGGACAAAAAACCACAGGAAAAGGCAGTCTAATAAACACTTCTGTACATAGACTCTGAAACTATACAAGAGTAAAGACTGAAACGTAAACACTGTGACAAAACAACCACCAAAACTTTGTGACCGACCGGAGCGGGTTGATCTCAGGTGTTCCGAAACGGTAAGAAGATCCTGTTTCGCACGTGTCACCCATGATCACCCATGAATGTAATCATTCTTGTAGCCTTCAGGCCCAACCGAAATCCCATTTTCTACACTGATGATTGATGTGCAAAGAACTGTCCTCCTTATCTTGCAAGTTGTTCCGCCTATTCCGTTTCGTTTTCCTCTGGAAATGACCTGTACATTGTTTTGGAAATGATCTGTACACTGTTTTGGAAATGATCTGTACATTGTTTGACTATAAAATCATGATAGACCTTTGTAAAATCCATTGTTGTTGTTTTCTAGTACAGTTGCGGGTCACCGGTTTTGATGCGATTTAGTCGATATATTTATTCTGTGGCAGTCCCTTCTCATATATAGATAGGAAGATGTGGTATGAGTGCCAATGAGACAACTCTCCATCCAAGTCACAATTTATAAAAGTAAACCATTATAGGTCAAGGTACGGCCTTCAACACGGAGCATTGGCTCACACCGAACAGCAAGCTATAAAGGGCCCCAAAAAATTACTAGTGTAAAACCATTCAAACGGAAAAACCAACGGTCTAATCTATATAAAAACGAGAAACGAGAAACCCGTATGGACTACATAAACAGACGACTACCACTGTAATCAGATTCCTGACTTAGGACAGGTGCATTTGCAGCGGGATTAAACGTTTTAATGGTACCAAACCTTCTCCCTTTTCTGAAACAATAGTATAACATCACAATATAGAAAAACACACTATAAACAGTCAGGATTAAAAAAGGCTCTAGAAAAACGCAGACTAGGCATAACAGAAGAAAAAAAGTCTTGATTGATAATTTTGATTGAATAACTAGTCTAGTCAGATTGAAAATTCCATCTTGATCTTGATTTTTTACGATGCCACGTCCTTGCATGGACATAACAACATCGCGCCAGTTTCAATAACTTGGGACCCCTTACAATTGCTGTCAACTTGACTGAGCTGTCAACAACTAAACTGGTTCTTCCGCGAATTACATCTTGGTAATCTTAATCCGCAAGTAGGAGGTTCCAATCTTCATGTATTTGGTAGAAAACTGAATTCCAAAGTGTTCGACTTGGATGAAATTCTGAGAAAGTGTTGACTGTGCATATTCTTTGTTGTTCTTTGTAAAGTTGTTGACTATTCTCTTTTGGTATTTCGGATAGACTGCGTATGGCCTTATAAAATAAAAGACTGTTATTTCCGAGGGGTTCTGTTCTGTTCTGTGCAGGTATGTACCTCCGTTTAGTTCGGAGCACTCCACTTATCGGATGAGCAAGTAGGGGTTTTAGTTTCATCTGGTTTAGAATTGAAGTTATGTCATACTACCTGACCCCGTATTCACTAAAGATACGATGCAACATGTCGCATCGTATGTAAAAGTTATGAATATTGATTCTAATATGACGTGCTTCTTTCGCTTTGTAAACAACACCGTGATAAAATTCTTGATATATCTATACTTAGCGCAGACTCA